AGAGATATAAAAGAAAGGGTCTTGAAGAATTTTATATTTTTGGTTGTAAGCCTAGCCTTTAGCAGCTGAGCCATCTCTCCAGCCCAGGGTTTTAATAGTATTAGCCACTATTTAGCATTTTATGTACCTATGAAAATGATAACCCACATTAAGCATGGTGGCACACACCTGTAATCCCAGCACTCAGACTGAGACTGGAGGATCACGAATTTAGACGATCTTGGACTATGCAGCAAGATCCTTTCCCAAAAACAATGCTAATTTAAGCACAGTGAGATTTCCTAAGAAACCTATAGTGAAAACAACACCATGATCTGCAAACATCATGATCTCTGAGTGCCAACAGGGAAGGGAAACTGCACAGGCTTGTTCCTGGGCTACCCACTAGAGAGGACAGCCCAATTCTAGTACAGCGTGCTCTTAAATTCTTTAACTGAGAAGCCAAGGCCAGCAGCGCAGAGAGAGACTGACACTGCCAAGAGACACTTACTTCCTGGTTGAACTAAAGTATTTCTCCCTAAAATCCACAGGGCTGTTGAGTGGCAGACACTGAAAACGCAAAGCTGGTCTCTAGCTTTCCCTGTTAGCCTGAGAACCAATCAGAGACACAGCAGCGGTCTTGCATCCTAATCCATATCCCTGAAAACAAAAGGCCAGCTCTGTCTTGGAGGGAGACTGGGCTGTCCCCAGAACCAACAGGACCCAGGAGCAGGCCCTAATGTCCTCCCACAGAGCCTCCACCTCAGGGTGCCTCCTTTGTCTTGCAGATGGGACAATGCTATTTCACACAGGCCTCTGTGCTAGGGCTGCTTTCCTAAGTGACTGCCCTCCCATCAGATAGAGACTGCAAGAGGAGTAACACTGCTTTGATTCCTCCTGCTCATCTGCCCCAGCCGAGAACTTACCAGAATCCTCAGAGCCTAAGGACTGGAAATAATTAAACGCATCCGGCATCCTGAAAACCTAGTGTGATCCCTCAAGAACTGATGATTCATTAAAAACAGCAATGAAGGAACCCGCAGAGATGGCTCTGTAGTTAAGAGCACTTATTGCTCTATCAGAAGACTGATGTTCAATTTCTGATACCCACAATGTGGCTCATAACATGTGTCAACTCCGGTTCCAGGGGACCTAATGCCTCTTGGGCACACAGGCTCACACACACACACACACAGAGGCACACACACACACACACACACACACACACACACACACACACACACACACAGAGGCACACACATATACAGGCATACATATACACACTCAGGTGCACAGGCATGCACACACTCGGGTACACAGGTATACACATAAAATTAAATAAATACTTTTTAAAAACCAACAGTAAAGTCAGATATTGTGGTATATGTCTATAAATCCAACACTCCAATATTGGCAGGAAGATCGTGACAAGTTTAAGTTCAGCCTGGTTCACACCGGGAGTTCCAGGCTACATAGCAATTCAAGAGCTATGTAGCAAGACCTTGTCTCAACAAACCAAACCTGAGTGGCTACATGTTATCATGATATGTATGACACTGTCTACCCCACAGCTGAGGACAGTGAACTCTGTCTCCTTAGGAATCTGTAACTGTTGGGACTATAGGATTTGGAGTCAGAATACCCAGATTATCACCAGTTCCCCACCCAGCCACTTAGTAACCATGCCTGGTGCAGAGGAGATACCCAGTGAACACTTACAGAATGATATACCTGCTAGATATACTTTCCAAGTTAGTTACCCTTAAGCTTCCATGTTCTTATGCAAAAAGAGAAAAGGTTAGATGCCACACTGTAATTCCAGCATTGACAGGATAAGGCAGGAGGATGGCTCTCTACTAAGACAGTGACTCAAAAAGAAAAACAAACAGAAACAAAATAGAGTTACCCATGCATAAGAGCTGCTGAGAAATTGAAATAACAAAGCACTCTGAAAGCTCTGCCAAGAGTTGTTAATATCACAGTGTTTCTGTCAAAACTACAGTGATGGGCTGTGTAGATGGCTTAGCCTGTTAGAGGCTTGCTGTGCAAGCATGAGGACCTGAGTTCAAATCCCCAGCACTCATATAAGACGCTATGCATGGCAAACACAAGCCTGTATCATCACTGCTGTATCACACAGAGACAAGAAGAGGGCTGGGCTTGCCAGCCACAGCCTAGCCCAGGCTCAGTTTGAGACCTTGTCTCAAAAGAGTACAATGGAAGTGATAGAGCAGGGTATCTGGCCTCCTCCTCTGTAGCATGAATTCTCTTTGGTCTTAATAATAAAAACCTAGAGTCAGATATTAGGGGGGAAGCTAAACGATCAGAGAGTAAGGCACCAGCCACTAGAGAGTTCTCACCTCTACCAATGTTGAGGCCAAAGGGAGACCTTGTCCTCAGAATGCATCTCCAGACTGCATCTGTCTCCACCAAACCTCAGACTCCCTGAGCTCCTGTCTCCTCCCACCTTATATTCCTCTCTAATGCTGGGAATAAAGGTGTGGAATCCCAAGTGCTGAGATCACCTTTGTATAAGCTCTGTACTCTTTTAGAGAACCGTGCAGAAGATTCAGGGTGTATGGACACCTGCACCAACCATGCAGAGGATTCAGGACACACACACCTGCACCAACCGTGCAGAGGATTCAGGACACACACACCTGCACCAACCGTGCAGAGGAAGCAGGGAAGCTGGCTTTGGGGAGCACCTGGTTGGTAGGTTCCTTTCCTGAGCTCCTTGGGGATTTGTGAGAGGCAAACATCTGGGATGCAAGTCTTCATCTGAACTTGCAACACTCTGGAGACAGCTGCTCCTGCAACAGCCACACTTGTTCCAAGCCCCACCCCCACACGATGAAGCCTGCTATGGTGCATCCTCCCAAACTCTGCAGTGTAGCAGTGCTGAGAAGAATGTGAGCAGCTAAGAGGGGCTCTTTCTCAAGAGTGAGTTTGGCCCCACAGGAGGAAGTCCCAGTACAGGCTTCATTACTGACAGGGGACTATTAGAAAGCTGTCCCCCAGCTTCCCTGGATGGCATGCTCCTCCCACACAAACCTGCTGTTCTGCATCTCATGGCCTGTCACAGAAGCAAAGATGCTAGCCCCAGCCTCCTGGGCCTCAGAACTGAGAGCTAAATAAGTCTGGAGGTTTTGTTTGTCTGTTTTCTTCTTTATAAATCACTTGGTCCCTGGGTATTTCACTGTTGCAGCAGAAAGCAGTTAAGACCTCACACTAACAACAGGGCCTTTACAGAAGTGATCAAGGTTACAGGACTTCATAAGAGTAGGACTGCTGTTCTTATAAAGAGTGAGACACCAGCCACTCCTGTATGCAGAGGAAAGAAGGCTATACCTGAAAGCCAAAGACATGTCTCACCAGAAACCAGCTCTCCCAGCACTAACTAACCTAGGCATTGCAGCCCCCACGCTCCACAGGAAAAGAAATGTTTGCCGGGGATAGAGAGATGGCTCAGAGGTTAAAAGCACTGGCTGCTCGTCCAGAGGTCCTGAGTTCAAGTCCCAGCAACCACATGGTGGCTCACAACCATCTGTAGTGAGATCTGGTGCCCTCTTCTGGCATACAGAGGCACATGCAGGCAGAACGCTGTATACATAATAAATCTTAAAAAAAAAAAAAAAAGAAATGTTTGCCAAAGCCTCCTGGTTTGCAGTCCTCTGTCCCATCAGACTAGCTCTGCACTAACCACAGAACCCTGCACTAAGCACAGAGTCCTGCACTAACCACAGAACCCTGCACTAAGCACAGAGTCCTGCACTAACCACAGAACCCTGCACTAACCATAGAGTCTTGTACTAAGCATAGAGCCCTGCACTAACCATAGAGTCTTGTACTAACCACAGAACCCTGCACTAACCATAGAGTCTTGTACTAAGCACAGAACCCTGCACTAACCATAGAGTCTTGTACTAAGCATAGAACCCTGCACTAAGCACAGAGTCCTGCACTAACCACAGAGCCCTGCACTAACCATAGAGTCTTGTACTAAGCATAGAGCCCTGCACTATCTATGGAGCCCTGCACTAACCACAGAGCCCTAAACTAACCCCTCTGCCAACCTAGCCAGGGGCACCAGCCCCAGTCCCTAACTGCTGATCTAGTCATGGAGCATCTATCTTGTTAAATAATTGTTGATGTGTGTGTGTGTGTGTGTGTGTGTGTGTGTGTGTGTGTGTGTGTGTGTGTGTGTGTGTAATATAAAACCATTCACACCTACCTTTCATTACTGTGTCTCTAAGACTTCTTCCAGGAGGTGGGGCTGGAAATGGTTTGTGCCACCTGATCATTATACTAATTCATCAGCAAAACTGATTTGTCCAGAGTCACAGAGAAACTCAACTAGAAGAGTTTCTTACAGCTGACTGCATATAGGAGGTAACTTGGAAACCACAAGGCACAGAAGGTTCCTTCCATCCATTAGCAGACACATCCCATGCACCACAAGATGGCCATGGTTCAGGGATCCTACAGTGACACCAGGATCAAGTACACAGCAGGCACACACTCATCACCTTCACACCCATTAGCAAAGCCCATACCTGTACATGCGTGAGCACAGAGGCACTGCTGACGCACACACACACACACCTGTACAGGCATAAACACAGAGGCACACACACACAGACAGACCTGTACAGGCATAAACACAGAGGCACACACACACACACACAGACAGACCTGTACAGGCATAAACACAGAGGCACACACACACACACACACCTGTACAGGCATAAACACAGAGGCACACACACACACACACACCTGTACAGGCATAAACACAGAGGCACACACACACACACACAGACCTGTACAGGCATAAACACAGAGGCAGGCACACACACACAGACCTGTACAGGCATAAACACAGAGGCACACACACACACACACAGACCTGTACAGGCATAAACACAGAGGCACACACACACACACACCTGTACGGGCATAAGCACAGAGGCGCACGCGCGCACACACACACACACACACCAGATTCAGAAAGTACTTACGAACTGTCATGGATTCAGGCATGGAGGCAGATGGTAACAGGCTACTCAGAGGACTTTCTCGGCTGGGAGAACTGGCTTCCATACTGGGAGAAAGCAGGCAAAAGGAAGTTATACTTGGCCTAAAACACAACCTCAGTGCTCACAACACTCACAGGTGAGATGTTTCCCCAGGAATCTACTGGAAAAATAGAAAGCAGCTGCCTCAAGTCAGTCTCTTGTTACTGCAGATGTGTCTGAAGTTTACTGGAAACCCCAAATCAATACAAACAACGCTTTTGCAAGCCATTCATGAGAGAAAGTCAGAGTCACTCAATGGGCATGTTTGCAAGCTATCACTGCCTTCATGTTCTGACAGTGTAACTGTGAACACATGTCCTTTCCAGGGACTATGGTTTTCACATTCTTGTGGTTTGTATTGTTGCTTTTCCTAGTTAAAATAGTCCCTGGAAGCATGTCGGTGTTCTAAGTGCAAGACACCCACATGTTATATAAGTACCTACACATGTGCATGCGTGCATGCATGCACCTGCAGGTTGGAGGGATAGCTCAGCCGTTAAAGGCTAGACTCACAACCAAAAATATATATGCACCTGCATGTTATATAAGCTTTACTCAGACAAGTGTGTGCAGTCACTATCCAGTGTCGACTAATCAACATGTTTGTTTATGATAGAGACTCATGTATCCCAGGCTGGAACTTACTACGCAACTGAAGATGACTTTGAACTTCTGCTCCTTCTGCCTTTGTATTCCAAGCACCATACCCAGTTTTATGTGGTGCTTAGGATCAAACCCAGGGCTTTGTGAATGTTGAGCAAGCACTCTCCTACAACTAAACCAGTAGATTCTACACAAAGGGCCTTTAAATGAGGACATAGACCCAGATTATGTATGGATCAATGGATACAGAAATATCATGACAACAGGTTCCCAGCAACCTGTACCAGCATCCCCCTGTAACCCGGACTAGTGCTTGAAGAACCTTACGGAGCGTACCGACTGCAGTTAACTGGAATGGTTGTACATTTACAATCAGTCTCTACTGTGAACAATAGTCTGGCTTGTCTGTGAACAGCAGGAAGGAGAGGCCACAGACTTGGACTCACGCTCCTCAATCACTGTTGTATTTGGCAAATGCTCAAAAAAGGAATGAGAGTCCTGGAAGGGTGCAATGGCACCATCCTTTATGTGACTGGACTCAATGGTATCAGCCCCTGATGGTGTGTGATTTTCAGAATCCTGTCTGTTCTGAGTAACAAGACAGCAAGCAAGGTATGGGGTGGCCAGGTACCCCTCCCCTCGCCTTGAAGATAAATTGGGCATACAGGTGGATCATTTCAAGACACCAAATTAAAATCATAAAGTTGGGAGAGCAACAGAGATGAAGGTGACATTAGGAGACCTCAGTGGCAATGTTCCCTTTGTAAACATCAGTGACACTGGGCAACTTAAGTTTTCCATTTGAGTTTTTGGTTGGCTGGTTGGTTGGTTGGTTGGTTGGTTGGTTGGTTTTTTGAGACAGGATTTCTCTGTAGCTTTGGAGCCTGTCCTAGAACTCACTCTGTAGATCAAGTTAGCCTCAAACTCACAGAGATCTGCCTGTCTCTACCTCCTGAGTGTTGGGATTAAAGGTGTGTCCCATCACCTCCCCAATATTGTTATTTTTTAACCCTGTATAATGATTATTATTATTTATTTATGTGTACATGTGTATATGTATTATATTTGAGGTTAGAGCCATTCCCTGGAGCTGGAGTTACAAGCGGATGTGGGTGCTGGGAACTGAACTCTGGTCTTCCGCAAGAACAGTATATGTTCTTAACCACTGAGCCATCTCTCCAGCCCCTGTTTTTTGGGTTTTTGTTTTGTTTTGTTTTTTTTTGTTTTGTTTTTCGAGACAGGGTTTCTCTGTATTGTTTTGGAGGCTGTCCTGGAACTCCCTCCATAGACCAGGCTGGCCTCAAACTCACAGAGATCCGCCTGCCTCTGCCTCCCAAGTGCTGGGATTAAAGGCGTGCGCCACCAATGCCCAGCTCCCTGTTATTATTTTCAATATGAAAGAGCAAAGCTTTTCTGCACTTACAAGCTGCCAGGCCATACACTGAATACTTGACAGCTATTATATCTTTTCCCATAACCTAGATATCATACAGTACTAGGGCTGATAAACATCATTGTCAGCTACTAACAAACTTTAACTAGGAAAACTGAGGAGGGACACTCAGTATGGCAGCAGAGGTATGGAAAGGACAGGGGTATGCAAATGGGGCTTGATGGCTGCTGCCTCTCCTGGGCATGGAACCCTGGGCTTTGTGCACACTGTGCAAGCACCCCAGCACTGATTAGCTGTCCTGCTCTGACACTGTATCACAGAACAGTTTATCTGGGTGAGCAGTCACCCCTGACCCTGACAAGTATACATATGAACACAACATGAAGTCAGGCCTTAGCCTTCAATCCCAACAGGTAGCACCTACCTTTAAATGAGAAAACCATGCAAGGATAAACAACATGTCATGATGCTGACACTGACCTGTATCGAAGGCCAGGCTCTGGGAGCACGTGGTCCTCTGGTCCTGTGCCATTCTCCAGACTTCCCACGGGGGCATCTGTGCAGAAACCACACAGAGAGTGTAAGGCTTGGCTCTCAACTCCATTTTCTCCTGACCAAGTGCTCAGCTGCTCCATCGGCTGATTTTAAATTCTTTCCACCCACACACTGGAGTTACCTTCTACCTAGTTCATTCACTCAAGCACCATTAAGACTTGGTACCAATAGCTACGTGTGACTCTTTTAACCTTGAAGAAGGGAAGTTATTCCCGAAGTCCTTATCAAGGAACCCAAGGCAGAATCAGGTTTTTTGTTAAACAAATTGCTCTTACTCATAGTGGCCACTAGAGGGCAGAAGGGTCTCAGCACTAGTAAAGTCTGCGGCTTTCTATGAAAACCCCTAAGCGTTTGGGAAAGGAAGGCATTCCCAAAAAAGTGAGTCCAATAATCTCTAAAGCAAACAGGCAAAGGGCGTTAATGTTTGTCGCAGATGCACTGCTGCTGCTCAGGCCTCCTTCCAGGGAAAAGTGCAGATTTGCAAGCCTGGAGCTGCATGGCGACACTCAAGGGAACCCTCGCTCAATCACCTGACTCTCATGACCTGACTCCTGAGTCAGGCACGTAGAGCAAGCCTCTGGGCCTCTGCTTCTGTTTCTGCTTCTGCTGGACTTAAGGGAAGCAAGCCTGGAAAAGACAAACCCTCCCCACCTTAGACTGCATATGCCATTCAACCCCAACTGTCCCCAGTAACCCAAGAGTACTGCAAGCCTGGTTTCCACCCCAGGACTATGAGGCATTGGTAGTCAAGGGTCTACCCCCCACTTCTTGCTACCAAGTGGTGTGGTTACAGGGCACAGACCCCACTGGCTACAGCACCAAGTCCCTGCTCCTCAATCAACTTTAATTCAGCAAGTTACATAGCCTCTCTGCTTCCCCTTTTGCTCTGCTCTGTTTGGTGACAGGGTCTCCTTATATAACCAAGGCTGGCCTCTAACTCAAGCTTTTCTTGCCTCAGCCTTCCAACTGCTGGAATTACAAGCATATGCACTTTAACAATTATGCAACACAACTGTTGTTGTTTTGAGACGGGATTTCACTATGTGGCCTGAGCTGACCTGGCACTCACTATGCACCCCAGACTGGCCTCAAACTTGTCACAATCCTCCTGCCTCCACTTCCTGAGTCCTGGGATCACATATATGAGCTATCAGTGGCTCTTTGGCCCCTAACCCTTTTGGTGATCCTACAAAGTCTAGTGTATACTCTTATCTCTCAAGATGACAACTCTCAAACTCTCTCCTTTGGCTGAGACTTCAGCCCTGAATCCTGGTTTCACATTTCTGGCTATCGGAAAGTTCTACTGAGACCTTGCTGGGCCCAGCAGCCACCTATACTTTCAAGCACCCTGGCCTTACACCCCACTTCTGACAGTGCTGTCAGCTTAGGGACACCCGCCCTCTGGCCACCACAGAGCCGGCTGGATCTGCTCTGGTTCAATGTCCTGCAAAGACCTGCGACTTAAGCCCCAATTCATGGTGCTACTGACAGGCAGTGGCGCTGGGAGGTAGGACCTGGTTCACTGGAGGATCAGATGCCCAGCCCCTTCCTAGCTCTCTGCTTTTCCTGTCAGCTCGAGGTGAGCAACTTCCTCCGTCTTTCGTTCCTAACTATGATGCTCTACCTCACCAAAAGCCCAAGGTAACAGAGAAAACTGAAGATAGGATGAAATCTCTGAGCTTGTGAGCCAAAATACACCTCTTCTCCCTGGCAGTTGATTGTCTTTGCTACAGTAACAGGAAGCTGACAAACACAATATCCAAAATCTCCGGTGTCCCCTAAACTACCCCGCCCTCTGCTCATGTGTGACGGCTCGTTTCTGGTTAGAAGGCTCGGCATCTTGTAAGGACCCTCATAGGAGGTTACCTCAGCTCGGTCATCCTCACTGCTGAGACTCAGCCATGACTGACAGAGTTCACACATGAAGCAAAGCCAGGGCTCTAACGCCACACATAGTGAAATGCATGGCTGGAATGAAGGCCATTGTCAGGCAGCTCACATTCCAGATGCAGCACTGACTTGTCCTGCCTGACCACACATCAGCTCCTCTGTGTGGCTGGCACACATACCTACATACAGCTGGCACTGTGGTGGACATGAGCTGTGTCACTCAGCCTCTGCGCCCTCTCTGAGACAACAGCTACTGCTATCTTTTATCATGTGTGTGGTGTTAGAGCTAGAACATGGATGCTAAGTAATCCTCCACCACTGGGCTACACCCTGGGTCTGTATTTTCTTAACTTCACAGATGAAGAAATAGATCCAAGGGCTTCATGGACTTACCAGGTTCACAGAGTTAGCAAGTGAAGCCCAGCACTGAGCTGAGACTTCCTCACTTCAGAAGCCAGGCCCATTAAGCTGACCTGAAGGACGTTTGCTCCTCTGACCTCCTGGCTCTCCTGCCTTGGCACTCTGTCTGCCTGTGTCCCCTGCATGGGTATCACTCTCACAACACTACAGACCCTTGCCTGCAGCGTCTCTCCACCACCTGCAACCATCTACTCATCCATCCAGTAAGGGTTTACTTACTGCCCCAACTGAGGGCTCAGAAGTGGCCAATGTCAAGGTCTGGGTCATGATGGAAGACAGACCTTGTCATGTACTTGTGAACCTCACAGTCTACAAGGAAGACAGGCACTGTCTCATCACCGCACACAGAGGTCAGAGCGATGAGGTCAACTCTGCAAGGGGACACAGTGTGGGAGCCTAACGTGCCTGAGAAGGGGGCAGTGGAGGAAAAAAACTATGAGTTGAAAACATTATTTAAGTAATGTTATTTGGTCTGAAGAGATGGCTCAGAGGTTAAGAGCACTGCCTGCTCTTCCAGAGGTCCTAAGTTCAATTCCCAGCAACCAAATGGTGTCTCACAACCATCCATAATGAGATCTGGCACCCTCGTCTGGCCTGAAGGGATACATGCAGACAGAACACTGTATATATAACAAACAAATCTTTAAAACAAAACAAAACAAAACGAAAAAGCAAAAAAGAAATGTTATTTATCAAGAAAGCTATGTGTTCTAGCCCCAGAACTCAGAAGGCAGAGGCAGAATAACTACCACAAGTTAAGGTCAGCCTGGTCTACAGAGCGAGTTCCAGGACAAGCTCCAAAGCTACACAGAGAAACCCTGTCTAGTGAAAACCAACATTAGTGAAACACTGTCTAAAATTAAAAAAAAAAAAAAACTAAAGGGCTGTGAAGATGGCTCAGGAGATAAAGGCACTTATTGCCAGGCTATTGCCCTGAGTTTGATCCCCAGAATCCATGTGGTGGACAGAGAGAATCAACCCCCAAAAGTCCTCTGACCTCCACGCACACGCAGTAGCACATCTCCACAGATTCTCACGCTCACAATAAATAAACAAGTACATGTAATTTTTTAAAAGTTTAATATGGGGACAAAGAGGGGGCTCGGTGGTTCAGAGCCTTTGCTGCTCTTCCAGAGGACCCAAATTCAGTTCCCAGCACCCACAGTGGTGGCTCACACTTGTCTACACTCCAGTGCCAGAGGACCCAATGCCACCTTCTAGCCACCATGGACACATAACTCATATGAACTCACATGCACACAGCCACAAACACATACACATAAAATTGTAAAGAATTTTTTTTTTTGGTTTTTCGAGACAGGGTTTCTCTGTGGCTTTGGAGGCTGTCCTGGAACTCGCTCTGTAGTCCAGGCTGGCCTCGAACTCACAGAGATCCGCCTGCCTCTGCCTCCCAAGTGCTGGGATTAAAGGCGTGCGCCACCAACACCCGGCTCTAAAATTGTAAAGAATTTTAAAGGCTATGGATGTACTCCTTTAATCCCAGCATTCAGGAAGCAGAGGCAGGGGTGTCTCTCAGAGTTTGAAGTTAGCTTTGTCTACATAGTGAACTCTAGGCCAGCTAGATCTACACTGTGAAACCCTGTCTCAAGAAAAAAATTAATTAAAATAAAAAGTAAAAATCATTAAAAAAAATTCCAAGTGGTGATGGCGCATGCCTTTAATCCCAGCACTTGGGAAGAAGAAGCAACTGTATGACTATGAGTTCAAGGCCAGCCTGGTCTACAGAGTGAGTTCCAAGACAACCAAGGCTACACACACACAAAAAAATCCTGTCTCAGGAAAAAAAAAAAACATTAAAAAGACTAAGGATATAGCTCAGTGGTACAGCACATTGCCTAGTATACTCAAAGTCCATTCTCAGTACTGCCTCAAATAAAGATATCCTCTGTCTACAAAACCTCAGGTGCGATTTCTCTTCTGATCTCCCAAGACCTAGTACCACATACTTAAGTAGAAAGCTAAATGTTGAACAAAGAGCACCATGAACTCCAAATGCCATGTGGCCATGTGTAAGTGGGCTGGGGCTACACAAGACAGTCACCTGTCAACCGCCACAGCATCCTAACTACCACAGAATATCGACTGCCAAAAGTCAAGCTGCCTTCCCAGAGGGCTCCGAAGTCTGTCATAGCAGACCACAGTGGCATGTGACAGTCAGCCCTCGGTACTGGTTCAAATGAGATATGTCACCCAGAGGTGCAGGCATTTCACAGTTGGCCCTGCTCAGAGGTTATGGGGAGGTGTGGCCTTGCTGGAGGAAGAACATCACTGGGGGCGGGCTGTGAAATGGAAAGCCTCTGCCCTTACCAGTTTGCTCTCTCGGCTCCTTGCTCATGGTAGATGATGGGAGCGCTCTGCTTCCTTCTCTGGTTGTCATCATGCCTGCAGCCATTTCTCCTACCATGATGGGCTCTTACCCCTCTGGAACCAGAAGCCAAAAAAAAACTCTTTCTTCCATAATTGCATTCCATGGCATTTTATCACAACAACAGAAAATTACCTAATGTACTCTTCAACTTAACAAGTAACTCCAAAAGCTAAAAGTGTGGATAAAGAATTTAAAGGATGTTAGACCCAAGGGGAACGCAGGGTGAGAAGGCCACAGGCTGCAAGTGAGCTGAGCAATGCCCTCAGATTATCTGCACATCACTATGCCATCACCAAACAGGCGGTGCCAATGTACCCAGCAGAGAGAAAGAGGAGCAAAGGCGTGGGGGCCTTTACAGGATCCAGGTGCTATCTGCCATCCCCCCAGATGTAAAATAACGGTCACTATTGATGTGGCCAAGTTTAGTAACAAACTGTTGGGGGCAGGCTTGAGAGCCCTTTTAGGATCTTGCCCAGTGGTTCACCCCAAGGCACTCAGCTGGAGTATTTGGAAACAGTCCAGTTATAGAAGACCCCACAGCCGCTTCTTACTTCTGAGTGTCCAGGAGCTGTCCTTGCCCTAAGTCCAGATCTCCTAGCTTCCAAACCTACTCTGCACAGGTAACTCAAAAGCCCCATCTGGTCCTTGGAGCCAAGTTCTTACTGGAGAAGACAGGAAGCACCCACCTGCTGCAACATAGGAGCCCACTCCGCTGACAGGAAAGAGGACATCAGTGTCAGCATCAGCATCTCCATGGAGCACCTGCAGTGGGGCCCAGCCATGGACCTGGGGGAGGCAGACGTTCCCATCCAGCGGCCTATGGAAAAAGAATGCAGCTGCATAACAGGGCCTGGGGACTTACCACAGCATCTCCTGAGCCTCAAGTTTCCAGGCCTAGATGCACTAAAACAGAAAAAGCCATGGGTTGGGAGTCAGTACCACAGGCCCCAGGTCAGACCTCTCAGCACAGGGGCAAAGAGCCAGACAATGGTTATGATTGCTCTCATGGAGCGTATTGTCTGGAGGAGGACCACAACATCCACCACAGCACCCTGCAAGAAGGTGGAGGCTCACCTCTGAAGTGCGGAGCAGGCAGGAAGGCTGAGGGCGAAGACACTTGCAGAGAAGGCAGAGGTAGCCAACCGTGGAGGTGTACACCCACAACCCCAGCACTTGGGAGGCCAAGGCTGCTGTACTTGTGGAGCGCAACATACCACCAACTTAGATTCTTGCTTTGCTTTGGTTTGTTTGTGGGTAGAGGGTGTGGATTTTTGGTTTTACCAAGAGTTTTGGGTTTTTTACTTCTTTGTTTTGTTGGGGTACCCCGAATGAGAGGGTCCCAAGCTGATTCATCACCCCAAGAATCAAGAGTCCACGCCAATTGATGCAACACGCAAGAAGCTTTAATTAGGCATCTGCAGATGGGCCTCTCGGTCAGCTTTTAGACCGATTGGCCCCGAGGTTCAGTTACAATCAGCTTTTAAAGACAAAAACCACAAGCCTTTGGGAGGGGTCCCTATCTTGTGACCGGGGGGGGGTACCTGACTACTGACCAGGGGAAGTAGATGTCTTCCTGACCTACACGTTGTAAATTCCTCAAATCTTAGTATGAGTTAATCATCTCTCCCTAAGTAAATGGTGGTTCCCACAAATCTTGTTTGCCCATCTCTGACGCCCTGGTCAGTTTTTCACAGGTGGTCAGCAGCCCGGAATTGGCCTTTTGTGGGTTTACAGCCCTTCTGCAATTAAGGTTGCTAAAACATACATTCCATTCTGTGGTTTGGCCAGTTCCTGGGATGGGGTCCTTTGTTCACTTCCCAAGTTCTCTAGTGGGGTGCCCTCCCTGTTTAAGCTTATATTTTATTTCTATAAATTCGGGGTCTTTTAGTTTGAGACAGGGTCTCACGTATCTCAGCTGGCTTAGAACTCTGTACATAACTGAGATGACCCTGACCTTCTTCACACAATCACTACTGTACACTAACTTAGAACATAAAGAGGCTCAACAGATCAAAAATCACACCTACTACATCAAGTAAGGAAAGGGATAGGGGGAAAAGTCTAATTATGTAGTGTACTTTTTTTTAAGTTTATGTGTATGGGTGTATTGTCTGTGTGTATGTCTATGAACCACATGCATGTGTAACCCACAGAGGCTAGAAGGCATCAAATCCCCTGGAACTGGTTGCTGTTAGGTCCAAAGTGGGTTTCCTAAAACGATAGTCAGGGCTCAGCCCAGGCTGGACTCTGACCAGGGAAACAGAAGGATCCTAAACAGCATTCCTCAAAACCTTGTGAAGCAGGTTTCTGTTTTTCAGGCAGTCACTATTCCCCTTCTCTGTCCATAGAGGCAACGGAGCATCTAGTTCCCCATTAACACATGTCCTGGCCCCCAGACCACCTACCCTAATTTCCAGGCTCCCTCCCCCTGAACCTTTCTCTTTAAAGACTGGTGAAGCTTTCCCAGCCTTCTGCAATTCTCTATGCCCCAGAGAGATAACACAACAATCTTAAATTTCTCCAAACTTTCTTTCTACCCATGGGGTAGTACAGTTTGGCGGCCAGTGCTCTTAACCAATAAATAAGCCATCTGTCTCCCCAGCCCCAAGTCATGTAATTTAGCAGGCCTGGTGGCACGCAGTACTTGGGAGGCTGTCCAGTCTAGGTCACATAACTAGGCCTTGTTTCACAGCCACACGGTTCCATGGTGCACTGTTTGCATGTACAAAACTCTGGGTTTAGTCTGCAGTACCACAAAGAGAAAGATAGACCCAGAGCACAGTGGCTCACACCTGCATCCCAAGCTTATGAGGCAGAAGCAAGAGGGCTAGAATGAAGTTAAAGCCAACCTGGGCTACAGGGTTAGACCCTGTCTCAAAACAGTGTCACCTGTCCAAGGTCACTGGCCATTAACAACAGCACCAAGGCTGAGGTCTTCCAAATCAAATCACAATGGTATCCAGCCTCCTGCCTGCATGAACCTCTTACAGCTTTTCTTTATTTTAGGGCTCAAGATGAGGCATTTTCTTTGTAGACATTTTAGACTGTGGGGCACATTCTTCCAGGTGGGTGCTTCTTTACAAGCCTTTAAAATGCAACAACCAAATCTAGCTGTGGTGAGCATTGAGTAGGAAGTCCAGGGAACAGTCCTAACAGAATCTAATCAATGAATTGTTTCCTGCCGGGCTAGCACAGGGAAATTCAGAGGCAGGGAAGAGTGAGAAAAGGACAGCTCTAGCTTTGGACCTGGCCACTGTCTCCCAAGTGTTAGCTTCTAGGCTATTAGAACCACCCTCTTGGGGCTGTGATGCAACAGGTGGTTGTCAGGTTGCTCCCAAAAAGGGCAGGCCAACTGACTTGTCCAAAACTGAGTGTAGGTAGGTCCAGCTCAACCAGCACTATAGGAGGACTTCTTGCATTTAAGACAAAAGGCCAGCATTCCTCAGGAACTTGTGAAGCCCATTCTAAAAGGAACCACTTCCCTTACCTCCAGAAAAGGGAGCTATGGTTCTCCAGTTAACATACACCTATAGTGCCTATGAGTATTTCACAGTCCATGCTAGCACCCTAGTTGCCTCCTCCCCAGCAACTCACCCTTCTTACAGCTGGCTGTTCTGGCTGCTGCTTCTCTATGTTTTCTCTACTCTCCATCCCTTGCTATTGTGCTGTCTCTCACAGATAGCTCTGGCCATGTCCCGTCTGCTTATCTCTCTGCTCAGGACTCTTCCTGTTAATAACCTTCCCCTTAACCATACAGTGGAGAGGTCATATGATCAGTTTATAAGTGGTAACCAAGGGAAGTAGCATGCTGGCAGTCAGGCCACATTCTTAAGAGAAAGTAGCAGTACTGGTCAGTCTGTGTTATGTTTTATTACTGTGCTTATGTTAAATTACTGTGCTTAAGACATCTATAAAACAAAAAGCCTCTAATCTGTAAGGTTCACTTGCCCAAGGACAGATAACTTCCTGGAATGCTGAGGGGTGTTGTTTTCACTTTTGTAAACAAGGTTGGTTGCCTCAGCTGCTCAGAAGGTGCATAGGCAGGAAGTACATCAGGATGTGTGCTTGCTCCTGACTGGACGAAGGCAGGAAGCACGTGACCTTGTGGGGCTTGCCTTTATAAGCACTAGACGAATGTAAATCATAGTCATTCTCTGGGGATCCCAGATATGGGCCTAGCCAGTGTCCATCACCTGGGCCAGTTTTTAATAAAGTTTGCTTCAAATTTGGCTCAAAAATTATGGTAGTGGCCTTATTCTTGCCTAGTGGGGTTAACAAATCCTGTCCCCAACCATTCCACTACCTCTCTAGGCATGTGGAATTTTCTGCTTGTTTCAAAGACAATTCTTGCCATTTCCCAGCAGCCTGTGTGAAGCTAGACCCAGAAAGGGTGGGCCAAACCCAAGAGAAAGTGACCCCAGAGGTCTACTGTCTCGGCTGACTCCTAAGGCAACAGCCCTCAAAATATGGCATAAAGATTGGCTTTAAAGGGCCAGCAAGATGGTTCAGCAAATAAAGGTGTTTGATTCCCCAGAACCCATACGATGAAAGGAGAATACTGACTTACAAATTAGCTACACACACACACACACACACACACACACACACACACACACACACACACACACAGTGTTAAAAACAATGTGGAAGAAAAACAACTGTGCCACATTATCCCAAACACAACTGGGTGAAAGTGTGTCCTGGGCAGCCAACGTTCATGGTCAATACTGAGCAAAGGGGAATAAATTCATCTTCATGCTGTCAGACATTCATTCATCACTTAAGATGATGCTCAAAGTGGGCCTAGTGATGCACACATTTAAACCCTGCTCCGAGGCAGAAGCAGGAAGCTCTCTGGGAATTTAAGGCTCCATAAAACCCTGAGGTCAATCCCTAGGACTGTAAAAACTAACAAACAAAAATTGCCCAAGAGCCTATCTCCACCACAAAAATAAATAAAACCCATTCAAACAACAAAAGAGTGTTAGCAGTCTATGCTCTGAAGCTCATGAGGACAATTCCCCACCCCCACCCACCCGTCTGCCCACTCCCTATGTTCCCTACCCCCACAGGTTAACTGCCTGGTGCACATTCAGCTCAGACCAGGTGTTCTGCTTCTCTGAACAAGGGCTTTGGAATCTTGCTGCTCAGCTCTTTCCCAGTTGAGACATCGTCCTCATCCTCAGGGCAGATTCTGCACCCAGGTCCAGATATTTTGTTAACTCTCTTCTGCCCAGGCTATCAGTGGCTACACCTCCACCCTCACCCCCATACACAGCCTACCTTCCTGCCTAAGTAGGTGCCAGTTTGGTCCTTGAAAGCGGGGGAGGGGTATGGAGGCAGCCTGGCTCTTGCCAGCACTGGATAAGCAGGGATTCAAGGCTCATCCTGCTCTTGCTGTTAACTACTAGGGTGTATGAGGAGCAGGGCGCTTGGGGTTCACACTTGCAGCTCTCTGAGTTACCTCAACACCCCTCCAAACTCACTTTCTTACTGGTGTCACAGTACAAGCAAGATAACTGAAAAACTCCTTTCCATAATAAAGTGATTGCCTATTCTAAAAACAAAACAAAACAAAAAAAGCAAAGCCAATGTTTGTGACAAACACTGGGTAAAGAAGGATCAGCCATCAAAGAATTGGTTACATTACCAGCGAACAGAGAAAGCCCTAATTTGGGCTACTAGATCATCCTAAAAACAAGCAAGCATCCGATTTTGCCAGAAGCAACGGTAAGCAGAGTTGAGCCCCCTGGCCTGTCCACACTCCCCCACATGACTGCTGTATGCACTCTAGACCTCTCCTGTGACTACAAGCTTAAATCAAAAGCCAAAGCATTACTCAATAAGCCACTCGTCACTGCTCAGCTCCTCCCCGGTTAGCTCTGTAGACTCTTCGACCAAGGTGCCCTGGATAGCAGCGAGAGGCTGTCCATGGTCCATGGAGACCCAGGCTCCCAAGGTCACCCAGCACTGCTCTGTGCCTTTTCTTTTACACATCACAATGCCAGCAGCTACCTTAACTTACAAGCTGGCCTCCCCTCCAGACTGCACTCCAGGCAGCAGAGATAGGAAGAAAAATGGCTAGATATGAGACACTGACTCACACACACTCACCCACAGAATGAAGTGGCATTCCCAAGCCCTCATAGAACTAAAGGCAGTTTCAATGGTTATCTGTATGTGCCAATTTGGCTGGGCAAATATTTGGTCAAATATTATGCTAGAAGTTGCTGTGAGAGAATTTTTTTTAAAGATTAACATTCACATCAGTGAATTTTTAGTTAAACAGATTATCCTGTTGGACTAGGTAGACCTCAGCCAAACAGCAAAGGCTGCAATACAAAAACACCTGACCCCGGGAGAAAAAAAAAAAAAGGAATTCTGCCAGGAAACTGTCTCTGGACTCTTCTGCTACCAGTCTGCCTGCAGATTTGACTAACTGCATCCCACAATCCTGTGTGCCAATTCTCCAAATCAAGAGAAAGGGAGGAAAAGGAACAAGCATGATGATGTATGTCAAAATCTCAGCCCTTAGGAAGTAGAGCCTCAGGCCAGCCTGGGCTACATGACACACCTTGTCTCAAAAGAGACAGACAAAAACAAAGAAATGGAGACATACATGCAGAAATAAAGATAAGTAAATGAGGGAAGCACACATTTATGCACATGCACACACACACACACACACACACACACACACACACACACACACACACCTGAGTTGTTTCTCAACAGAACTATTACTAATACAAGAAGTCACATACTTTGCTCCCAGACTCAAAACATCCACAGCTTGTGAACATGAATGATGCTGCTTAGAAATGACTCTAACAGTGGTTTGGGATTGGAAAATAGCCTTATACATACAACATTCTAGAGACTGAATCAGGATGATGTGCCAGAGACCAGCCTGGGCTACATCCAGAGACCCTGCCCCCAAAGAACCACAAAAGTGAACAACTGAGATAGTCAACAGTGACAGAGCCATGTAGCAAGTGAGGGTTCTGCAGAGAAACAGAGCCAGTGAGAGGTCTAAGGAGGTACAAATATAGACTCTGACAAGGTGCTGCTTCGTGAGTGGGAAAGCTGGGAAGTCCAGGAAAGTTGATGGTGTGGTTCTGGGAAGCAGGAGAACCAGTGTGAATCCTAGTCCATGGACTGGAAAAGACCAACACCCCAGCTCAAGTTGTCAGGCATGAAGGAAGCTATTCTACTTCCTCAGGCTCTTCCGCTCCTGTCAGGTCCTGGCTGACACTACCTATGCTTGACAGGAAACCCTTGTCATTAAGTCAATCCATCCAAACACTGATCTCAGCACGAAACTCTCCCAGATTCCAGAAACAAGGATTTAACCTGGGAGCATCTCATGGTTCAGTAAGATGACATTGTATAAAATAACTGAATTATATATGAGCATGGAAAATATTAAGGTCTGGGGAGCAACATATGTGGCCCCAACTCCCTGCATGGCCAACCTCTTTGCCAAATCTCAATTCTGGAATTTTCTTTCATCTGTACATTATAGCATGGGGAACATGGTCAATGCACACATGGGAATGAATGCAAAACCTTTAAAACTATTAGATTTATTTTATTTTATATGCATAGATGTTTTGCCTGCATGTGTGTATGTGCATCTCATGCATGGCACCTGGTACCTACAGAGGCCAAAAGAGGGAATCAGATCTCCTGGAGCTAGTCTTACAGACAGATGGCTGAGACTCACCATGTTGGGTTTGGGAATCCAGCTTGGAGAGAGACAAGTGTGATTAACTGCTGAGTACATTCTCCAGAGGGGGGGGAAAAACGTTGCTATTACACAAACATGAACAGCAGAAACACAGCACTGGGAATATTAAGAGCACCATGGCATTTCTGACCCATAGAAAGGCACTTCCACACGTGTTCATGCCACACTTTACCAGTAGGGGCTGTGAAGTCAGCCATGATTAGTACCATGTACTCTATCTAGACTGAAGAGAAAAGGTACTTAACTGGCTGTGTGACTGTAAAGCAAGGGTAAACAACAGAGGACTGTGAAGAGCAGCCTGCAGCGGTAGCAGTTGGCCCGAGTGACATCACTCAGTGTGTGCATCAAAGGCCTCAAACATCATGTGGCTAGGCTCTGCAACACCCCTGCTGCCACTGCCTCAGGCCTCAGATGTGGCCAGAGACTCTGAGGGGGAAAGAAACTTGTTCCAAGAACAGACACACAGGGAGCACCTGAGAGCCTAGGTTGCCTTGCAGGCAAGGTCCACACTGGCCATTCCCCATGATGCTGTGCTTTGGGCTCCATGGATTTAGATCTACATCCCACCCAGTCAAGGCAACAAGTGCAGAGAAACTGAGCTCTGGGAAGCAGCTACCTGAGCCTGAGCCTCAGCTCTGCCAACCACTCTGCAAATCTCAACTCCATGGAATCCTGCTCTTTCATCCTTTGAACCAGAAGGGATACCCACTAAACCAAAATGGCCCAACACTGGTCGGTTGCTGATGTCACACTGCTCTCAGGGTTCTTTCTCTTTTTGAGATAGTCTCATTTGGTCCAGCTGCTGATCTTGAACTCTCCGTGTAGCTGGAGACGGCCTGTTCCTCCTGTCTCCATGCACCCCCACAGGTGCTCCCACAATAGGTATGCACCACCACACCCAGTTTATGCAGTGCTGGAGCGCAAGCCCAGGACTTTGTGCAGGCCCGTCAAGACCTCTACCGGTGGAGCCAGTTCTTAGGTTCAGTCTTATTGTCACACAAGACAGTTATCTCTTCTCTTAGGCTCCGAAGATCCAATGATACGTCTTCATGCCAACTCCACTTTCCTACTGAGATTTCTGTTTTAGTGGAAAGTTATAGACAGAAGAAACCCCCGTTCATGAAAGCCACAGCCATTTATGTTTAAGCAAAAATTTCAAAGTACACATTTTGATGCTAATTTTGCATTAAGTCCATTTAAATAGACTGTTTAATTCTCAGGAGGGCAAGGTCATAAAGATCCAAAGAATGAATAATGTCTCCAAAGAAATACAAAAAATGCACTATTTTCATGGCTATGGTGTGTGTACATGTTCATGTGTCCACATTACATGTTCAACTGTGTCTGCACACATGCCTTGGTGTACATGTGGAGGTTGGAGTTCAAGTTCATGTGTCCATCCTGTCCTTCTACCATGTTTGAGTCAGGACCTCTTGTTCTCTGCTATGTATGCCAGGCTACCTAACGTAAAACTTCCCCCTCCCATCTCCTCTTGGGAGCACGGGAATAACAGGTAGTCTGCTCTGCTGCAGCCAGCTGGGGTTCTGGGGATCTGAACTCAGGTTGTCATGCTTGCGCTGCAAGAGCTTTACCCACTGAAACACTTCCCCAGCTCCAGACTCACTCATTTCACTCACTTCACTCACTTCCTAGAAAATGTCTGATGCTCACTAGGACCTCAAGCGAACTCACTTGTCTGGCGACCCGAGTGGCCCGTGGGCTTCCTTCCTGCTGAGTTCCTGTACACATCCTCCCCATTTTCATCCACATCATCATCGATGCTTTTCACATCCAGCTTCTGGTAGCCCAACTCCCCATTCAAAGATGCAGAATCAAGTTTCCATGAATTGCTGCTCTGGCTCCCATTGGAATTTGGCCCAAATGGGCTTTCAAAGGTTGACATGATATTGATGGAGGAGCTTTCTGCAGTCCCAGGCATCTTTTTTAAAGTGTCTCCAATGCTCTGCTCATCATCGTCGTCATCAAAAGAAACAATGTTGGTCACCTTCTTCCTCCTCCGCCTCTCCCTTTTACATCTGGCATCCGGCAAAAGACAAGCTGTGGTAGCACACAGAAAGAAGGCCAAGCTACATTCCCATAGGGCAGCAGCGCTTACTATCACACCACCAATAAACTAAGACTAAATCAGATTTTGTTGGGGTTTTCAGGTTATGGGTTTTTTTTAAATAGATTTTTTTATACAATATATTCTGAATATGATTTCTCAAAGATCCTCCCCACCTCCCCATCCACTCAAATCCACATCCTTTCTTTCTCTCTCTCTCATTAGAAAACAAACATGTATCTAATAATAAAATAAAAACAAACCAGAATAACACAAAATCAAACGAACAGAAAAAACACAAGAAACACACACGGACACAGACACACACACATTCACACACCAGATACATCAGAAACCATAATATATAACCAGCATAAGACCTGTAATATCAAAAAAAAAATGCCCAGACAAAGCATTATGAGACCAAAAATCCCTTCAAAAATACCACTACATTTGTTTTACATTGGTCATTTACTGCTAGGCATTTTCTAGGTTTTTTAAAACCATTTTAAAGGTGAAGTGAGTGAGTGTGTGTGTGTGTGTGTGTGTGTGTGTGTGTGTGTGTGGTGTGCGCAGTGTGCAGATCCCTTGGAGCTGGAGACATAGTCAGTTGTGAGACATGGACACTAGGAACCAAACTCTGGTCCTCTGGAAGAGCAGCAAACACTGGAAGAACAGAGGCACTGGAGGCAAACCTACTACTGTTATTTTGCTAAAGCTCACACTGTCAAATATTCCTCTAAATATTTCTGTTTATACCCATAGGTTAGTGATGCTCTCAACTTTGGTCAGAGAAGTTTCTTTTTGTACTGGGCAGCATTTAATACAGAGAATTACAATTGGTCAAAGTGCTGAGAAGAAGCAACTGTGAGGGCTTAGCCCTATGAGACATCTTTTTCAAACCCACCCACCTCACCAAGGTTCAGTGAACACCATGGAAAAATAGTACAAGATCCAGAAGGCAGGGAGGAATGCTATAAGATGTCGGCTGGACAATGATATGGCTGTTGTATTGATGAACTCACAACAGCTGTGTTTACTACATAAGACCAAGCCAGTTGGTATTCCAGCATGGCAGAAGAGGGGGTCAAGAAGCCTCACCCTGTCTGAGAAGCTATTGACAGTTGAAGGCCACTGGGGAAGGGAGTATGGCTGCTAAGTTGCCCATGCTCAGGTGGATGGCCCCACACCCATGCTTATGAGGGTAGCACTACTGGGACTCACTGAGATTTTATATATAAAGAGGACATGACAGTGGGAAAGGCAAATGTTAGGGGAGGATGGGAGGTAGACATGATCACAACACATTGCATACAAGTATGAAACTGTCAAAGAATAAATGAGACATTCTTCTTTTGAAAAGGAATAAGAATAAAAGTTCTAAAAGGAGGACTGGGGAGATGGCTCAGTAGGCAAAGTTCCTGAGGCAGAAGCAGAAGGACTTGAGTTTGGACGCCAGCCCTGAAGAAAGCTGGGCATGGTGTTGTACACCTGTAACTCTAGTCCTGGGAGAAAGCTGGGCATGGTGGTATATGCCTGTAACTCCAGTCCTGGAGGAAAGTTGGGTATGTTGGTCCTCTGAATGCTATGAATAAAGCTGTTTCGGCCAATGGACAGGCAAGATGTAACCAGACAGGAAGTATGGGCAGGGCTACCAGACTAAGAGAATTTGGGGAAGAGAAAGGTAAAGAGTGAGTCTTGAGGCAGATGCCAAGTAGCTACTGGGAAGATAGAACGCCTGGGCATTCTCCAGTAAGCCAAGACCACGTGGAAATACACAGATTAATAGAAATCAGTAGAAATGGGTTAGTAACTAAGAGAGAGCTAGCCAGTAAGAAGCCTGAGCCATCAGCCAAACAGTTTATTTATAATAAATTTAAGCCTCTGTGTGTTTATTTGTGACTAAACAGCTGCGAGGCCCGGCAGAGCAAGGCAGAAACTTCCTCCAACAGTGGTGTTCATCTGAAACTCCAGCCCTGAAAGGCAGAGATAGGCTGATCCCTGGAGCTCAGTGGCCAGCCAGTCTAGTCAGTGAGCTATGGGCTCAGGTGTGAGATGATGTCTCAAAACAAAAGTAAGTTGAACGGCCATAAAGGAAGATGCCCCACACTGACCTCTGACCTTTACACTTAAATACATGTGCACACAAGATACACAAACACACGTACACAAAATCAGACAGACAGAAATAGACAGATGGGGCCTGGTGGATTAGGATTGTAAACTTTTTTTTCTTGGTGAGGGAAGGGTGTTTTGAGATAGGGTTTCTCTGTGTAGCTTTGGAGCCTATCCTGGAACAGGTTGGCCTTGAACTCACAGAGATCTGACAGCTTCTGCCTCCCAAGTGCTGCCATTAAAGGCATGTGCCACTATCGCCTGGCTCAAAATTGTAATCTTACTGCTCAAAAGCTAAGGTAAAAAGATCCAAGTTCAAGACCAGCATGGGCTACAGAGTCAGTTCAAAGACACCCCTAACAATATGATAAGACCTTGTCTCAAAAACAAAAGTAAGAAGAACTGGATACAGCTGGATGGTAACTTGCCTAGTGTGTACAATCTTTACTACAAAAAACAAAACAAAACAAATATTCTTTTAAATGTTTTCAAAGGGTTGGCCATGATTACTGTCTTAAGGGATTTTGGAAGACAAGGAACAATATTTAACCCCCAAGCTAACAACTCCAAATGCTCTAAGGGTATCACCAACTTCTGGAAAATTTATCTTAACTGAACCAATTTTTCCTTGCCTGCTCATAGTCAAAGCTCAGAGCTATTCTCTTCCCTCAGGCCACTACTTAAATAGCATCCTCCCAGTACAGGCAAACCCAAAAGTGTTCTCTATGAAGCAGCCTATGCTTTCATCTCATATACTATAAGTTGCTTGTGTCATTAGCTTTTAAATATCCCCCTGCCCATACCCAAGAAGACTAAGCGGGATGCTAGCAGAGTCTCAGCTCACTGTTGAGCACCAAGAATATGAGGAGAAGTAGTAAGTGGAGAGAGATGACTTACCTGGCTTCCTAGGACAAGCTGTTTGCTTTTCTACCCTTTCTGTTGCGCCCCTCTCACAGTGAATGACTTTGCTCCCCAGATGAAAGTGACAATATTAAGGTGTGTTCCTCTCAGCCCCGCTCTTATTTCCTGTTTGCTGGCCCTACTGTGCCACCTCCAGGGCCCCTTTTGGCTCACCAACATTGACGTTCTTGGATATGACAGGCAGAGGGTCAGTGTCTTGCTCTGGCTTGATGAGAATAGAGACAGCAGAGGATGCTGTGATCTCCCTGAGAAGGCTGCTCATACCCTGCGTGGACTCCTTCAGCAAGGATGTCACATTCTGCGTTGACTCCTTTAAGAGGTCAGAGACAGTGGGAGCAAACTTGCTCTGCCCATTCAAATCCCTGTTGTCAATGTTAATTGCAAAGAGTATACAGTTCAGACCTGCCAAAGAAAAGGGGTGGGGGAACTTATTGTCATGCAGTCACACCTCCAACATCAGCAAAAAGACAGTCTACAAGGGGACAAACCTCATCTTCATCATCTATAAAACCATCTGAAATTGGCATTGGCATATAGAAGCTCAGGTGAGCAGTCTTTCCATATTCCATCCCTGAATGTCAGGAAGACAAATGGCAACAAGAACCACCCAGGAGAAGACAGTGGCAGAAGTTCTCGAGAGAGGCTTCCTGGGCTGAGCCACTGAACAGCCACCTCCCTGAGCTCTAGTTTCTTTACCTGCACAATGGTGACAACAGTAACCCTCTTGGGACTGTGAGCAATAAAGATTTCACCCACCAAAACCTCATCAAGAGCTCAGTGTACACTAAGAATGCCATTACAGCTGATTTATCCAAGACTGACACCGACATCCTATGACCTATAAGGAAAACCACATTCAAAGCCTGACTTTCTTGTACATGACCTTTCCTTTTCTATGGCTGTCTTAAAGCCTTAGAAAGGTGACTGAAAATCTAAGAGTGTTCTCACTCACAGCGAAGGAGGGAACAGGTAACACAGCTGATTGGATCCAAATGACAAGCAGCAGAACCAGGGGTCAAGGCAGTCTGCCAATCCAACCCCCAGTTCTTTACAGTTCACCTGGCAGGCCACAGCCAAACCCTTCAACCTCATGCTTTATCTGCATGGGTATCAAACTCTAGATAAATGGCCCCAACCTAAAAAAGCAACAGTGACGCTTCTGATCAGGAGGACACAGAACATCACAGCACCCTCTTGGTCAACTAATCCACTCCCAGAACCTCTTTGTTCAGCAAGCTTCTCAGAGCTCAGCACCCCTGCCTCAACCAGGCTTACCAGCTGCCATGGTAGGGAGCATGCTGGACCTTTCTTCATCCATCACAAAAGACCAGTCTTCATAGAATGTGCTGCAAAAGCAAAGAGAACAGGGAAACTCTTAAGGGAAGATACTTCTTGCCATCCATACAGTGGCCAATGATGCCGTTGATGGCTCCCTGGAAACTCTAGGCCTGGTCAATCACCCAGAGGGAATTTTGTCCCTCTCCACTTTGAAGCTTCTCACTAGAAACAGAGGTCTGAATGCACACATCCTACGACTTCCTTCTTGGTCCTCTGAGACTGTGAACTTTAGAGGACTGAAATAGACATATGCAAATGTATTTATAAAGAAGCAAAGGTGAAGAGGACGAGGAATAGATTCCACTCACAAGGTAACCCAGAGACAGGAAGTCCAAGCTCACCAACAGGACTCACTTGATTGGCTAATACAAGAAGAGAAGATTTCAGAAGCAATTATAGAGCTACAGGGCTCCATCATTCACTTATAAAAACTGCAGGGCTACAAACCCAAACTCCAAGTTAGCCATGGAAAGGGCTGGGAGGAAGTTCAGTAGCATCTGGGTAGGGTCAGGAAAGCATATGGGTATGCAAAGTAATCTACAGCAGGGCTTAAAAGCAGGTCTCTCAAGTCCAGTTTCCAAGCACTTTATATGACTCTACTAAGCAATAAACCAGAGTCCTCAGGATCATTTCTCCTTTTTTGACAAAGTCTTTCATTGTCCTGGAGATCACCAAGTAGACTAGGTTGAATGGCTGGTCAGTGTTTCCCTCGGGATCTCTTTGACTCTGACTCCTTATCACTGGGACAGGCACCATTGGACTAGCTTTTCTTACATGGATTATTGTTACTGTTGCTTTTAATTATCCTTTTTATTCTTTTTTATTTTTGAGACAGGGTTTCTCTGTGCAACAGCCCTAGCTGCCTTGGAACTCACTTTGTATGCCAGGCTGGCCTTGAACTCACAGAGACCTGCCTACCTCTACTTCCTAGTGCTGGGATTAAAGGTATGTGCCCGGCTTTCTTCTTCATTGTTTTAGTTTTAGTTTTATTATTGTATACATATGTGTATGCAGGATATGTGTGAATCTGGGCATAGGTAGAGGTTCATAAACAATTTTCAGAAATAGCTCCCTTTCCTTCCATGTGTGCTCAGTTACCCACTGAAAGCCATCTCACTGTCCCAAGAGTGTTTTTAAGAGCAATCCTAGAATACTTACAGAATTATTGGTAGAACTGCCAATAGAAGAAACATTGCAGCAGGGACAGCATGGGTGGAGCATTTGTCTAGAACCTGAGTCTGATTTCCCGTCCAAAAAAAAAAGTAAAGCAGAGAGAAGAGATGGGTGGGGGAACAAGACTGCAGATGCAGAAAGGGAAACCTGAGCCCGCAAATAACTGGCAAAACTGAAATCAAGGGACTGCCGGAGTGCTGATGAGAAGCCAGCTTACTGCATTCATAGAATCTGAGTGTCAAGTCTATGTCCTGCTAACACAGAAGTTACTCAAGGTGCCAGAGAGGTTTGACCAAGGCCTCTCAGGTCATCAGCTGACATAAACTGTGTCTAGTCCACTATCCTCACAGGAAAAATAACTGCTAAAGTTAGAGCAAAAGACACCATGACAAGGGAAATCGTACCAAGCTAGGATTATTTCTATGTATATTGTGAGTGCCTTAGTTTTTAAGCCAGTGGTTTCTGCAGCAGTTTCCAATGTTTCTAAGGAGCTGGTTGGCTGTACCATCTTTGGCCTCTGCCTAGTGATCTCTTCCCATTGTTGAGGTCTAAACCATACCACCCCCAGCTACTGAACTGTGGCTGTGGCTATGTGACCCTCCCTGTCAATGGGTCAGGAGTGGAAGCATCTCTGGGGACAAGAGCCTAACCATCAATGCTTACTTCAACAGCCATCCCCTTTCCTACTGTGGGTCTACACATCTTCAGTAGGCTCCAGTCAGCTTAGGCTTCAGAAGAGAACATAAAGAAATGAAAGTAGCCAACTCAGAACACTGAGGCTTCTCAAGTGCTTATTACAGGTCTACACTACCTGAGTAAGCTTTATACTAAAATAAAAATAATAACACATGATAAAACACATGAAGCTTTTAGTAAAAACAAAGCACACCAGGTGGTGGCGGCGCATGCCTTTAGTCCCAGCACTTGGGAGGCAGAGGCAGGCAGATCTCAGAAAATTTGAGGCCAGCCTGGTCTACAAAATGAGTTCCAGGATAGCCAGCACTGTTACACAAAGAAACCCTGCCTCTAAAAACCAATAATTAATGAATGAATTGATTAATTACAAACACTTTCTTCCGAGTTCAAGGCCAGTCTGATCTACAGAGTGAGTTCCAGGACAGTTTCCGAAACAATACAAAGACACCCTGTCTCGAAAAACAAAAAACAAAAACAAAAATCCTTCCTTCCTTAATGTCTCATATTCTGAGCAGGCCTATAATCCCAGCAGTAGAGAAACAGTGAGCTCCAGGTCTGCCTAGACTACATGTGAGACCTTGCCTCAAAATAAAACTTCCATATCTTAGGTCAGTTAAGGATTGAATAAGCTAAAGAATCCCAAATAAAAACTCCGTGGAGTGATGGTTAGCCTGTGTCCTGGAGGGACAGCTAAGCATTGATCACAGCAAGCACTGATAGAATCTGGCTATGTGGTACCACACAGAGTCCCTTCTAAGCATTGTGGCATTGGTTCTCACACCAAGGGAGCAGCTGGCAGGGCTGCAGTAGGGAAGCCCCCTTCTCTCCTAGGAAAAGGCTCTGTGTCCAGATTCTTCCACCATGTCCAGGGCTATCCTGCTGGGTACCTGAGCCTGGCACGGTCGGCCAGGAGCATGTGCAGGTAGCGCTCCAGGGAATGCTCGTTGAGGGCGCAGCGCAGCCAGGCCCGACCTCGGCCCACATCTGCAGTGATGTGATGTAGGGAGTAGAAACGTTGCAGCTCGTGCTTGTTGAGGACCTCCTTCACGTAGAACCAGAACACGGGCTCTGGGGAGAAAGGGAAGCAGTGTGTCACTGGGCCTGCACGCTGTCATCGTCAGAGCAATGGTCACTAGGCAACTTTATGGGGTGCATATGCCATTACTTCCTTAGCACAGATGAAGTAGAACAAAGCAATAATCAAAAGTAAACAAGCCTCAGAACCTCCCACCCTGAGACTGCCATTCTTAGTTGACATTTTCAAAACCTTCATGCCAGTATTTTTTTTTGCACCTTTGTTTTTATACAAAAATCAACATTTGTGGCAGCTAAATCATGCTCCCAAACATAACTACACACTAGTCTCTGGAACTAGCCTGTGACTGTAGCCTAAAGCCGCAAAGGAAGGTTGGCAACTGATTGTGTCAATCCCCATGGACACAGCACATTAATAAGTGTCTTCACAAGAAGACAGAGAAACTGACCCATGGGAAAGAAGGCCATGTGACTAGGGATGCAAAGATCAGACTGATGTGGCCACTTTCAGAGGATGCCAGGAGCCACCAGAAGTAGGGAGAGGTGAGAAGGGCTACCCTGTGGTATCAGCAGGACCAGCCTGCCACTGTCTTCTTGACATGTTAGGCCAGTGAAACTGACCTTGGAGAATCTCTTTAAAGCCAGACATGGTGCCATGCACTTGCAGTCCTGGTTAATCAGGAAACTAGGTAAAGAATGTGGCTTGAGCCAAGGAGTTCAAAGCTAGCCTAGGCAACATAGCAAGATCCCATCTCAACAACAAAAAAGTATGTTATTCAGTGTATTATTATATGTATATATGTAATTCTGTATCTTGATTCCTTTTTTTTTCTAAATCATGAACATTTTCCAGATTCAAAAGACATCTGAACATTTTGTGTTGTTACTTATCCACCCAGTCTGCATGTTGAACATGATTTCCAGCAGTTTCCTGGTGGGATATATTTTAGCTCTATCTTGGTTACGAAGAACACACTACGTTGCTGCTTCCCCTTACACAACAAAGAACATCCTTGGTTATGAATAAGCACCCTCATTTCTAGATCCTCAGGAGACCTTCCCAAATGATGAACTACTTGGTATAACAACAGCAACAAATTTAAGGCTACAGGAAGGCTAAATAAAGTTTGTTGAGCCACAAACAGCCATTCTTACTGGCATCTCTTCAAGCCTACCTTTCTTATCCGCATGCACAAATTATTTGGGAGCTGAAATTCTAGTATGTACATCATTTTGTGACTGACTTTCTTTACAACATGGGCTCACTGACACTTCTTCATTCTATTGTCAAGCGTGCAACGACAGCTGTTAGCTCTTGAGTACTAACTGTGCATCAGCTATTGTCAAACATTTCATAACTGAGCTCACTCGAACCAAGGTCACTTCATTCAAAGGCAGGGCCTGGACAAGTCTCACGTAGTTAATGTAGATGTTAATAACAAGCACAGATGAGCAGGCATGCAGTGACAAACACAAGACACTGACATCACATTTGCCTCTGCCACCTTCAAAATAGGCATGTTCACAACTGCTTGATTTCTAAGTGGGGCAGAGCCAAACAGGTTCGCAGAACCCTCTGAGAATGTTAAACTCATTGAGGTTTCCCTCCAGAAGAATGCAAATGCGCACAGATCCAAAAACTAAACTCCCCCCAAAAAAAAAGAAAAAAAAACTAAACCCAGATTAAGAAACTCACTCTAATACTTCAGTTCAACTGATCTAGGCTAACTGTAGAGTGTCATCTTTGATAGGCATTTAGTCCAGCACACAGGACAAACAGGCAACAAAATCATTCAGCAACATGGCCACAGAGCCATGAGAACCTCAGATTCCTCTCCCAAGAGCACAGAATAGGTGGCCTGGGATTATAGGCTAACTGGAAAAAAGAACAGGTAGAGTGTTAAGCACAAGGTCCACACAGGTCATCCAACAATGGCAGCCTGATGAAAGATGACCAACACCCATGGCTAAGAGGTGCAGTGTAGTCTCTATCCCTTCCTTGGTCAGTAGCATCTAAATGTGTATATATGAGTATGTAGGTATTTGGGGACCCAGCCACCCTCCCATGTCTTTTAACTTTGTTACTTATTTAGTGTGAGTGTCCATCACAATAATACACAAAGGTCAGAGAACAACTTGCAGGAGTCAGTTTTCTCCTTCCCCCATGTGGATCGCAGAAACTGAACTCAGGTTGTCAGGCTGGGTGACAAGGGGCTTTACAGCAAAGCTATCTCACTGACTTAACTTTTTCAGAATAAACTTCCCAGGATCAATGAGAAAGCACAGTTCACCCTCAGCCCTCACATGGCAAACTCACCTGACTATACAACCACACAGAAGAGGCCACGCCCCCTTCTCTGCCTCTGAAATTTCCTGTGATCTAAACCATCCTTTCTCAGAGAGAGGAAGGCTCTGAAGATGTACAAAGCTTAGGAAACTCCTGAAGATTTCAGGACTCCTAGGGACCCAGCCTAAGTCAGAAAGGCAGCAAATACCCGCTCAGGAGAGGAGACTTTGATGGAGCTGCCTCCAAGTCGGACAGAAAGCCCAGGCAGGCAGCCTTGTTGAGCCAGCACCTATGCTGGGCTGCTTTTTATGATACAGTTTCCTGAGTCAGCCATGCTTCTCTAAGAAACCCCAATAAACTCACTGGTTCATCAAGTAGACTTAGGTGGAGTCATTTTTTGGCCTGTTATCATTTCACTATCTGCTGTGAAAAGACATTTGTTCATGTCCAAGAAAAGTTACCAACACCAGAGCGGGGCTCTAGGGAGTGCCCTCAGCCAGCAAGTGACTCTCACTTGCTGTCTTCTGAAAAACTGCAGTGACCTCCCTCTGACCTTGAACACCAGTAGCACGTTAATGTGAAGAGTGTTTCACCTTTCCAGTTTTCAAATTGCTTACCATGAGCATATTTTTCAAGCCTGTTAATGATGCCAGCTGATGATAAGCATTATTCCAGCAGGGAACCACTTCAGAATTAATTAATGTGGTCTATTTAAAGTGCAGCTCACCTGCTGTTTTAATGCAAGCAGTGGCCATAATTTAATTTGGAAATCTCTAGCAATCTGCTTTGAAACATGGGGTAAGTTCCAGACGCATGCCAGGGCTTCCACTTCTCAGAGCACGGAAGCCAGCTGCCAGCAAGGAGAGAGCCAGGAAGGGAGCCAAAGTGAGCTGCCTGGGGGCCCCTCGCAGCTGACTGACAGAACCTTGGCTTTCACTGGCAAAGCCAAAAAGTCATATCTTCCATAGGCACGGAGGATAAAGTGCCTGATGAGCAACAGGAGGACCCAAGATCAGATCTTCAGCACCCATGTAAAAAGCCAGATGCAGCTGGACATGGTGGCACATTGTTGCTGGAGTCTCTTGTCCCACCAGACACTATATTAATTATAAAACTATTGGCCGATAGCTAGGGCTTCTTATTGGCTAGCTCTGTCTTAATTATTAACCCATAACTACTAACCTATGTATTTCTACATGGCCTTATCTTACCAGAGAATGCTTCATGTGTCCTATCCTCCCAGTCTCTACATGGTGTCTCCTCGTGGCGCCTCTGCCTACCTTTCCCAGAATTCTCCTCATCTCCTAGTCCCACCTATCTTCCTACCTCTATTGGCCAAACAGTGTTTTATTCATCAACCAGTAAGAGAAACATAGATACAGAAGGACATCCCCCATCAGTGCATGCCTTTAATCCCAGCACTTAAAAAGGCAAATGCAGGTGAATCTCTGTGAGTGAAAGCTAACCAGATCCAAATAGAATTCAGGCCAGTCAGAACCTGGGTACAGGGGTGCACCTGTAATCCCAACACTGAGAAAGCAGGGACAGAAGGATCCCTAGGTCTGCTGGTCAGTCATTCTAACCTAGTCAGTGAAAGGTTATTTCTCAAAAAATAAGGCAGAAAGCAAGAAAGACACCTGACATGACCTCTGACCTGCACAAATACATATATACACACACATACAAAATGTGAAATAAGAACATGTACATGTATGTGAGTTGACTCAGTATCAGTCATTGCAAACACTTGCTGTATAATGCGTCCTGTGGTAAGCAGCTATTAATATCATTGTCACACTGAAGCAAAAGCCTAGCAGAAAGGGACCTCAACAGCATCCCTCTCCTTGCTCTGGCAGCACCCCTATTTCTTATGATAAACATGTGGTTCCCTATGATGCTCTTACCCTGTCCTCTTCCACCCCCAGCAGTGGCAGGTCCCACAGCTGGGAGATAATGAGACCACATGAGGGTGTCCACCTCTACGACAGTTTCATCCCATTCCTGTTTTTAGATTGTGCTTTTCATGGGGCATTCTTCACATTAATTTTGATATTTAAAAAATATATGTATATGTGTGTGTGCATGTGAATGTAGGTGCACACAAAAGTCACAGATGTCAAATCCCCCCGGAACCTGAGTTACATGCAGTTGTGAACTGCCCAACATGGGTGCTAGGTCCTCTGCATGCTCTTAACCTGCTATCCATCTCTCCAGATGTGATGAGATAGGGCTTGTTCCCTGATTATCTGATGAGCATCTGCACAGTACTGATGCCACTGAGCAACAGCTCTCTAGAGCCTGGGGTTGGGGTAGGAGAAGCCACTGAGCAACAACTCTCCCCCAGAGTCTGGGGTGGAGGAGACAGTCACTGAGTAACCGCTCTCCCCCAGAGCCTGGGGATGGGGAGAAGCCTCTGAGCAGCTGCCCCAGAGGCTGGAGGGACAGCCACTGAGCAACAGCTCTCCCCCAAAGCCTGGAGGAGAGGAGACAGCCACTGAGCAACAGTTCCCCTCCAGAGCCTACCGGGGACCCAGCCCACTGAGGAACAGGTCTCTTTCAGCACCTCGAAGGGATACAACTGAGCAGGGTAAAGCTGTGATGATATATTATTTGTGATTTATTAAAGTTTACCTGAGGATTCAGAAAGCAAAGTCAGTCACAAGCAATAGAAGTCAGGCACACACCTTTAATCCCAGCAGCCAGAAGCTAGGATGTGGTAGCACACATCTTTAATCCTAGGACTCAG